TTCATTAAGACCAAGTAATCTATCGTTGTACCAAGTAAATAATCTAATTTTAATTTTAACAAACGTCAAAAAAAACTACTCATTTTTCCAAACTTTGTTGAATTTTTAAAATTAAACTACTTGTCGTAAGGCCGTAATATTTCAGTAAGTTCTATAAGACCATGGAATATATCGCCAAAAAAAGTTTCATAAAAATCGGCTTAAATTTTTTTTTCAACAGTTAATTACAAGAAAACGGCTCGGTAGATTTTTACCTAAAACTAATCAGTATTATTCCCAACTAATAGCTTTCGAACAATTTTTGACTTTTTAAAATCGATTCGTTAGAATGAGCTTAAATGTGGACGAATGGTTTAACACTCTTTTTCAAATTACAAAGAAACGGCTCGGCGGAACGCCTCAGAAAACTGACAAACTATAGTGCTCATTGAGATACATCGAATGGCTTTTAAATTTTTGAAATCTGTTCAGGCGTTTTTGAGCAATCGTCGATGAAAGTTCTAGTTTTGACAAATGTCAAAAAAACGATATCAATTTTTGCAAACTTTGACGAATTTTTAAAGCTAAACGAGTTGTCGTAGGGCGGTAATATTTTAGTATGATCTAGATTCTAGAAGACTGTGGTATCTACCGTCAAAAAAAAATAATGATAAAAATCGTCGAAAATTTTTTTAACACTTTATTACAAGAAAACGGCTTTATTACAAGAATCAGCACGATTCCCAACCAATATCTTTCGAACAGTTTTTGAATTTTCAAAATCGATTGAGAATTGCGGGCTAAAACGTGGACGAAATTTTTTTCACTTTTCTGTGATTTACAAAGAAACGGCTTGACTAATCGATGCGCAAATTTGATAAACCCTAGTCCACAACGAGATACATCGAATTGCTTTTAAATTTTTGAAATCGGAGAAAACGTCGATTTACGGCAAAAAATCTGTTCACATACACATACACATACACACACACATACTTTTCCCTTAAATTTGGTCTCATTCGATTCGGAATGGCTTGAAACGTCGAGAAAACATAAAATTAGCGAATCGGATTTCTCCATGAAAACATAAACTTCTTCGGGAAGTTAAATATTACCCCGGCTAAGCACAGTCTAAGCGCCACTTTGGTACAAATGTTTACCCAAGTGCGTTTAGACTGTTTATATACTGGAGCACTTTTCCAATTTTGTGTAATTTTGGAGGCAACTTTTTTTTGGAAATTGAATTTGAAATGAAAAGACGATTGTTAATGTTCTGGAGATAAATTGGTTTATGATTTACATTTGATTTGCTCAGATATAACAAGATAGCTAAAATAATGAAAGTTACAGTATTTGTAATAATATATTTGAAAACGTTTAAAATTTCTCGAATATTTCATTACGGTACGGGACGTTCCAGCAATTTGCCTTAAGGCACGATGCCATACACCACTAGGTTTTTTATTTTAACCCAATCATTTTTTTTAGTTAGCATATGGTGATAGTACAAATAAATGTACGAGACTTCGTCTTGCATTTTACAAGGGAATTTAATTTATTGTGGGTCTTCAGGTTTTCAACTTCTGTATCCTATAAAATCCTATCTAGAAAAAAAGCGGAGCTATTCGTCCGCATAGAGCACGCGACCGAAACCATTGACCGTTGCATTATTAGTCTTCTAAGGAGTAAAAATTAGAAAAAAAACCTAGAAAAAGACTCTAAGTAAAAGAATCGAGTATGCCCTAAAGTCTCAAAAATGAACACATTTTTAATTAGGAATACTATAATATTTTAATACGAATTATCCACCTTTTTTCCATGACTCTATCCCTATCTATTCCTCCCAAAGGGCAAAGTCCTTTGCGATGGTCGCGTGCCGGTGATATATAAATAGTGATGGTACAGATAATTGGGTACAATATTGTTCTGTTCTTTATTATATTAATTTTTATGCTTAGTGGTCAGGCAGACCAGGCAGGGCGATCAGTCACTGAGAGCCTGATTAAGATAAAGAAATATTCAATCCTATTCTTCATATCTCGTAAAAGAACTTCAGCAGTTTATTGGCCTCTCGAGGGGAATGATTTCTCATTGATCTTAATTCGCAAGTTTTACTTTTGATTTCTAATTATTGACATTGGCACTTTTTATTTTTATTGTTACTATATATTATGACATTTTGTCATTTTCAGTTGTTATGGCATTTTGTCTGCACGACCGTCGTTTAGACATTTAACTTCTCATAGGGCAAGTTATAGTAATCGCAAAAAATCGAAAATGAAAATTTGTATATGCCTTAGAAAAAATGGATGGATGTGTGTGTTTTTAGGAAGGCAGGTCCAGCGGTTACGGAAGTTAAAAAATTGCCATTTGGCGGTCAAAAATCTTTACTGGGCACAAGTACATCAAATTATCAGATATTTTATAAAGATTTTAATATTGTGTACACATTTTGTGTCAATTTTTTGGGTTCCATACTAAGATTTTTAACTTTGAAGTTTTTTTTATATGGTTCAAACAAATGTCCTCGACAGTATGGAATAACCGATTTGTATGATTAAAAAATCATTCGGTTCGTACTCGATCGCGAGGCGTTTTTGCAAAAGGCAATTTTGCCGTTTCGGAGGTATGGAGCGCAAAGGGTGTAAAAACGGTTGTGTAGTTTTTGAGAGAACGGATTATACGATTAGATTAATTCAAAAAACATTTTGCTTGAGTAGACGCTGTGCAAAAAATGCATTTACAGAATATTTAGTAATAAATATATAAATATTTAGTAATTTTGAGTTTTTAGTAATAGTATAAATATTTAGTAATTTTGAAAATGAAAAAAAAATCAAATTTTCGAAATTTTTCATAATTTTCAAAAAAAGCTTCAAAAATAGCAAATAGAGGTAATCGAATATTCCCAAAAATGTCCAGTTTCTAAAAAAATTTAGAAGAAACGTTTTTTTTTTTAAAAAAACCATAAAATTTTAAACTTCTAAAAATGTCAAAGTTTCAAAAAAAATCTAAATTATCAAAAAAATCAAATTTAAAAAAAAAAGAACAAACTTGTGAACATACACATAAGTTGTTTGTGGAATACGGTCGTCGCCCAATTTAATAAGCACTTATAAATTTATAGTATAATAAATAATCTATTTGAAATTATTTAAAACAAATATTGATTATTTTTATTTGTCAAATGTTTAATTACGGTACGGAAAGTTCCAGCAATTTGCCGGAACACCACAGTTTTTTTTTAAGTTTGAAGCTTTTAACAATATTGTTTGATCCAGACAACTAAAATATAGATGCTATAGAAAATGCTATCAATTGCTATTTTTGTACCATAAATTTATCTTATGGTGGTAAATGTGATTATTCTATCAAATCTCAATAAAATACAATCATTTATAAACTTTTTGAGGTTTCAGCATTCTTTTATTATCTATTTGAAAAATAAATGCGGTTATAATGGTTGGACAATATAATTATTTAGTGTTCTTTACCCGCATATAACAAATAAGATTTTTTATATAAATTGCTCCAAAATTTTATATACGGGTGTTATATGATTTTATATTTTTAACTTCCCGTAGGGTAAGTTATAGTAATGAGCCAAAAATCGAAAACAAAAATTTTTGCATATCTTCACGTTTCAGAGGTTTCTGAACATTTTGGCATACCTTACTAAAAATTGTTGTGTGTGTGTATGGATACAATTTTTCGTCTACGTTTTAGGGCGCACGGATCAACCGTTTTGAATGGTTCAAAAAACATTCGATTCTTATTGATAGGGAGATTTGTTAAAAGTTTTTGGCAAAGGCAGGCCCAGCCGTTTTGGAGATAAGGAGCAAAGAGTGCAGAAAATAAAATTGAGTTTTTGAGAGAACGGAGCATCCGATTTGAATGATCAAAAAACATTCAATTTGTGCAATGATTGGTAGAAGTGTTTATTAGTTTTTGGCAAAGGCAGGCCCAGCCATTTGGAAGATACAGAGCTAAATGTGCAAAAAATGGCAGTTTTTGAGTGAACTAAGCGTCCGATTTGAATGATCTAAAAACTTTCTGCTTGTATTGCCAAAACAATTGCTTTTGAGGATAAAAAATTATTACATCTTTTTTTATTTTCCATAAAATATTTTTGTATTTTTGGATTAAAAATTCAAAAAATCACCCAGGCTAAGCACAGTCTAAGCGCCACTCTGGTACAAATGTTTACCCAGGTGCGTTTAGACTGTTTACGTACTGGAGCACTTTTCCAATTTTGTGAAAACTAATTGAAAAATGTGAAAATGCCGCCAAGCTAAGCACAGTACAAGTGAAAATGTCGCACAGAATTATTCGCAAATGCGTTTAGACTGTGACTATACGGGAGCACTTTTTCAATTTTGTGCAAATTCGGCAAATATTTTTTTTTGAAATTGAATTCGAAATGAAATGACGATTGTTAATGTAATAATTGATTTATGATTTACATTTGATTTGCTCAGATATAACAAGATTGTGGCGAGCATAGCTCATTGGTATCGTGTTCGATTCACATGACAGGGATCTTCGGATCAAATCCTGTCACTGACTTAGAATATAGGGAAAAAAATGTATAGTTGATTTGAAATCAAATAAATATTGTGTTGTTAATTAGAATAAAAATTAAGAAAAATAGGAATAACAGAATTCGAATAGCTGATCTGAAGTAAGAAGAATTAGAAATTTGAAGAAGCCTTGAGGAAATTAAGAAGAAAAATAAGATGAATATAGAATAGGTTATATATATATACACGTATATATATATATATATATATATATATATATAGATTGAAAATGATATAAAAATTAGAGTGTAAATAAATAAATGTTGATAGCACTATAATAATGAAAGTTACAGTATTTGTAATAATATATTTGAAAACGTTTAAAATTTCTCGAATATTTCATTACGGTACGCGCGAAGTTCCTGCAATTTGCCTTAAGGCACGATGCCATACGCCACTAGTTTTTCATTAATTTCTCAATTATTATTATTTTATTACCAGGAAGCAGAGACGGCCTGGCCTACGGCTGCCTGCTGCGCAACGAACTCTTAGACGCCGACATCGACGACGTCCGAATGTCGTACGACGGCTGCGACGACAGGACGACGTCGTCGGCGGCGCAGAACAACGCCAACAATATCGGAGCAGCGAACGGAGCAGGAGGGCCCAACGGGATAGGAGGAGCGCCCTGCGGGCCGCCGCTGTTCCGGTATCGGTCGCCGCAGAAACAGGTAGGATAATGGATAGATATATACTAGTGTATTGGTAAATATATATATATATATATATTGTAGAGTTTCGAACAAGAATCCAAAAGTAATAAAAAACAAGTAAAGTTTTTTGGAAAACAATTTCTTTATTTATTTATTTACTGTCGACGTTTCGGAACTAGGTATGTTCCATCTTCAGGACATCTGTCAAGAAACATGATCTTGATGAGATTTCAGCAAACAATATGTTTAAGAAAAAAAATGGATTTTTTAATTAATAAAATAGTTGAAAAAATAATGTACAGAAATATGATAATATGATCAAAATGAAAATGATAAAAATAAATGAGTGGATTATATAACATCTTTCACATCCTAACATATAAAAACACACACATACAATCTCACAGTTCTCAAGGGTTTACACGTGTTGCATGACTCAGACTTAGTCAGTTCGTTTCAAACAGCCGATCTCATAATATCGAGAGAATAATATTGTTTGTGTTTTTCAAATAATAATTTTAAAAAATACAAAACTTAGAGTGATTTTGAGCTACAAAATTTACCATTCGGCTGAAAAAATAACTCATAAATTCAGTTTTTGTTAAAATCTTATTTAGTGAAAAAGTGCTAAAGTATATTCAAACAAACAGGTAATTAATTCAATTTTGTCATTAACCTTTTCTAAAAAAATTTCTATAACTTTTTAAAAAAAATTTCTGTACATTGTTAGTTTTTCAATTAATTTATTATTTAAGAAAAATCCATTTTCCTTTCTTAAACATATTGTTTGCTCAAATCTCATCAAGATCATGTTTCTTGGCAGAATGTCCTGAAAGATGGAACGTACCTAGTTCCGAAACGTCGACAGTATATAAATAAATAAAATAAAAGAAAAAATTTTTATAAAAAACTTTTCTTGTTTTATTACTTTTGGATTCTTGTTCGAAACTCTACAAAATATATACAAATCCAAGACTCTATCATTTAATCTGTATCATTATATATATATATATATATATATATAATATATATACACGTATATATATATAGTAGCTGACCAGGCAAACGTAGTTTTGCTAAGTAAGGTATATTCTGAACAATTTCTAGAGAATCAAAAATATTAATACTTTAAGTGCATAAGAATGTGTTGTTTGAATGCTATATACAATAAGGTATTATAAAAACAATAAACCCCATTAGTCTATATTTTGTCTGGAAGTTTTATACACTTTCTTTAGAAAACATGGTATAATCCAATCCAAGTCTTTTTTGAACTTTCGACTTATGGATTACGTTTCAAGTTTTTCGGCTTCTTTTTGGATTCTGCATTTTGTGTATAATTGTGAATAATACTACTGAGCTTATGAAAAATTTTCAAATTTCTGCGAGGAGAGATAGAAATGATTTAAGTATTTGTTTTGGTCTGCTTTTTGAAAAGTTTCAAGTCACATTCGATGAATTGAAGTAAATTTAATAAAAAGTATAATTGTAGAGCAGGGCGAGGCACAAAGGTCCAATTTGACTTTGAGCAAATATTAATTATATTACAAAAATCAAACCAATTATATCACAACAAATAACACATTTCAAACGAACAATTATCTGACTACATTCAGTAAAACTGCCAGCTACTTCATCATTATAAAAATGTGCTTTTTTGCTGTCTTTCAAAAATTTGTTATCTATAGACCTTTTTACCCCATAGACAGAGTAACTTGGAATGGCCAGGTGGCAAACGGGTTTTATGTCTTATTTTAATTTTAAAGGTATTTTATAAAATAATTACATTTTTAACTAATGCTAAAAAACTACCAACGGAAGCAAATACTTTTATTATGGATTAATAATAACCAGCTATAATCAAGGTTATACCTGGTTATACATCTTTTGCCTCTACTTTTAAATATCTTTGTTAAACAATGCTTAACTTTACTGGTTTTTGACACATCGGACCTTTTTAACCCCGGACCTTCATATATTACTATCTATTCTTCGATAAATTCTGGGAAATTTTAACTGGGAAAATGTTTTTCGATAAAATGTCCATTTGATCGATACCAAATTTAGGTTCTGAATTCAAATAACATAAATAAAAAATAATATAACCTAGAAAATGTTTTATAAATACCATGAGTATATAATTATACAAATGAGATCTTTCAGAGCACCGTGTTTGAGAAAAATATGCCAAAAAGTGCATTTTCATATTAACATTTCAAAAAAGTTGATATTTTGAGTCTCTAGTAACACTTGCGGCCCGTTTACTAACGTTTTTGTATATAAATAAAACTACAAACAAAACTACCTACTACAATTTAATCATAATTAAATAATATTCACCTAAAACATCCTATTAAACGTAATTGAATATCATCTGTTAAAAACCTTGGACATTTGACGTATTAGCCACCGTCCATTGTTTTATTCATATTACTCTTCTACAAAAATGTTTAAATTAAAAACGTACAGTTCCTACGCGATTTTGAAATAATTTCTCACCTTTCCGACAACCTACTGATTGGAACGAATTTTTCACGACTAAGACCGGCCAAATCGGTTTAGCCGTTTTCAAATTTTACCGAATCATTTGATAGAGAGCTCCATTTTATATAAAATATATATATATATATATATATATATATATATATATATATATATTTCTGATAACGGTACCTGCATGTACTAATGCACTATGAAGAAGTATTGTCTGAATCAACTTTTACCATCCATTCGCCCATTCGTTGACTTTTCTCATTATCACGTAGGTACGTTTATTATTTATTATCTTCCAATCATAAATGGACTGTTATTTTATATTCTTTCCAACACTGTTCCGGATTCTTGGACGATGACCATGAAAAGTGCAGGAATTATTCGAACACTGAAGACTTCTATTAATATTTAGAATGATTGGTCAAGCCAATTGAATCTAGAATTGGAAGATGATGATTGTGTTCTCAAAATAACTAGTTGGTATTAGTATTTTTTCTTCAGGCAAGTTACATGAACTTCCCGATATGTGTAAATAATCGACTTAATCAATAAAAAATACATTAATTTATGAGCGAGTAAAAGTATTCCGAGTGGATTTATGACACACAATTGAAAGCGAACGAAGACGTTAACTCGGAGTATTTTCTAAAAGCAAATTTTAAAAAATCAATAGTTATTAATTGAACCAGTTTCTGTAGGACTTTAATGGTTTAGTATGTAGAATTAAGACCAAGTACTCTATCGTTATACCAAGTAAATCATCTAATTTTATTTTTAACAAACGTCAAAAAAAAAAACGACCAATTTTCTCAAACTTTGAATTTTTAAAATTAAACTACTTGTCGTAAGGCCGTAATATTTTAGTAAGTTCTATAAGACCATGATATACATTGCCTACAAAAATTCTATAAAAATTGGCTTAATTTTTTTTTCAATAGTTAATTACAAGAAAACGGCCCGGTAGATTTTCACCTAAAACTAATCATTTCCAACTAATATCTTTCGAACAGTTTTTGATTTCTTAAAAACGAATTTGGTAGTGTGAGCTTAAACTGGACGAAAAGTTTAACACTTTATTCCAAATTACAAAGAAACGGTTTGACCGATCGTCGCACAAACGATAGTCTTCATCGAGATACATTAAATGGCTTTGAAACTTTTAAAATCGGTCCAGCCGTTTTCGAGAAAACGTCGATTTACGGCAAAAAATCTGTTCCAACACAGACACACACACACACATACTTTTTCCAAATTCGGTCTTATTCGATTCAGAATGGCTTGAAACGTCGAGAAAACATGATATTAGCCAGTCGGATTTTTCTATGAAAACATAAACTTCTCCTTCGGGAAGTTAAAAATTAAATCATACAGAAAATGATATTGATCAAGGGATGAGAGACTATAATACACGAAAAGCTTGGTACCCTACTTGTTCAAAATTCCAAATTTTAAAAAGTTTTCAATTTTTTTCCTTCTCCTTTTTATTATTATTTCAATTTCTAGTTCTTCAGGAATACAATTTCAATATTTTTCTGCTGCATTTCTATTGTCAATACAGTTTTATGTTTTAATTCAAGATTTCAATTTATGCAGTTCATTGACGTATGTCTAATTATTTTTAATTCTAAATTCTTTAAGATTTTAAATGTAACTTCTCTTTCTGCTAATTTATATCTTATCTCATTTTTATAAATTTTTAAATATCAAGTTTAAATTTTATTTCCCGCTGCATGCATCTAAAGAAGAGGTGTTAATTTTTTTGAACTTTTCCAAAAAAAAAAGTCAAAATCTTTTTTTTACATTTCTCGACAAAGTTTACCGAAATCATTAGCATGCATTTTTATTCTGACCAAAAAACCAGAAGCGTCTTTAGAATGAGATCGCTTTTTATTCGAAAGACAAACTTTTGGCCATATGGCGGCTACTGTGCCGACATTTGTGCAAATAGAATTAAATTATATATATATATATATATATATATATATATATATATATAAATATATATAAATATATATAAATATATATAAAAAAGAGTGCGCGTAAGGATCACATGCGATTGAAGTAAAACTTTTAATATTGTATGAGTAGGCAATTAAGATAAAAATAAAAAACATCATATTTGAATTTTAAAAATCATATATTAATAATCACATAACATCAATAACACAGTTTAAAACAACAGCGATAGATTAATTGCTATCATATTTCATATATGATATAATAGGTTTGTGATAACTGAAATGAGAGACATAAATTTTGCTTTGTAAACTATGTACATTTCTGGAGAAAACTGCATCAATAGTCGTGCCATATCTTGTGGTTGATTCAAATGGAGAATTATTCATTGTTAAATTAAATTTATTATTAAAAAAATCAATTAATGGTTGAGATTCTTCTGAACGAAAATTGACATTGAAATCTCCAGCAAGAATTAATGGCATTAAAGAAAATGATTTCTTTTGGCAAATATGATTTTATTTCTATTCATTGGAATAGATGAAGATCTCCTGAGAATCGGCACAGCTGTCTACTGA